CGGTGGTCCCGGTTGAACCCGGTGGACCCCGTGGACCCGGTTGGTCCGGTGGACCCAGTTGAACCGGTGGACCCAGTTGACCCGTTGAACCGGTTGGCCCGTTGGACCCGTGGACCCAGTTGGCCTGGTGGACCCGGTGGACCCAGTTGGCCCGGTGGACCCAGTTGGCCCGGTGGACCCAGTTGACCCGGTGGACCCAGTTGAACCGGTGGACCCAGTTGACCCGTTGAACCGGTGGACCCGGTTGGCCCAGTGGACCCAGTTGGCCCCGTGGACACGGTTGGATCCGGTGGTCCCGGTTGGACCCGGTGGTCCCGGTTGGACCCGGTGGACCCCGTGGACCCAGTTGGCCCGGTGGACCCAGTTGAACCGGTGGACCCAGTTGACCCGTTGAACCGGTGGACCCGGTTGGCCCAGTGGACCCAGTTGGCCCTGTGGACCCGTTGAACCGGTGGACCCGTTGAACCGGTGGACCCGGTTGGCCCGTTGGACCCAGTTGAACCGGTGGACCCAGTTGACCCGTTGAACCGGTTGGCCCGTTGGACCCGTGGACCCAGTTGGCCTGGTGGACCCGGTGGACCCAGTTGGCCCGGTGGACCCAGATGAACCGGTGGACCCAGTTGGCTCGTTGAACCGGTGGACCCGGTTGGCCCGGTGGACCCAGATGAACCGGTGGACCCAGTTGGCCCAGTTGGCCCGGTGCACCCGGTGGACCCAGTTGGCCCGGTGGACCCAGATGAACCGGTGGACCCGGTTGGACCAGTGGACCTGCGGCCTCAGATGCAGCAGCAGCTTCCTGGTAGTTTTATAGAAAGCTGGGCCTCTGGCAGCAGAACGGCCGGTATCCCAGCAGGACGGTGTCAGTAACCCTCAGCCCTCATCAGACTTCACTGAAACAAAGTCAGCTGATAATTCAGATCGAATGTTCATGACGAGCGCTGCAGCCTGAAGGCAGAGATGGAAACGCTCCTGAGCTTGACAGGAAATGTCACACCACTCAGGTTTAGGATTCAGAATAGAGTAAAAATGTCCATTATTGCCCCACAGTGGGACATTCAGTTGTGACGGCGCCGAGGGAAAGCTAAGTGGGAGAATGCAGATTCAAACAAAAGCAAAAATAAATAAATACCTTCCA